CTGCCGCCCGTGGTAGCTGCGCTCCTGCCCCCACGTGCGGCGGATGAGCTCGCGCCGGTCGTAGTTGGCGGGCGACGACTTGACCGCCAGCAGCAGGAAGACCCCGCGGCGGCCCGCGCACTTGGCGGGCGCGTCCCAGAGCAGGGGAAAGTGGCGACAGTGGCGGTACAGGAAGTCCTGGATGCGTGCGGGCAGCTGCTCGAAGTCGACCGTGGCGTTGACCGAGTCGTTGGCCACACACGGGGACCCTGAACTGAACGCCGACGGCTGCACGGCCGCAGGGGCCGCAGGGGCAGCCTCCGTAGAGCCATCCCACATCTTCTAACGCTGGGACCTGGAGGCTTGGAGGAACCAGAGGTGCAGGGCCAAGAAACTCACACCCACCAGAAGGAGGGTCAGAGTCTTAGGATTCAGGGACCTGCGGCAGGGAGAAGCCATCTGTGGGGGAAACCGAGTCAGAGGTGAACCAGGAGTCATGTTTGACATCAGTGGAAGGACACTCTGACCCCATCACGAACCAGGCCTTTCTCAACTTTGCTGCTACAAGGTCAAAGGAAACCACAATTCAAGATTACACGGAAGCATCTGGCGTCTCCCACGGTCTGGAGTGCTCTGACCTTTAGAATCTCATTGTCTCTTCACATCTCCCCATGCCACCTAGGCGGAGCAGACTCACGTCAAAGTCAAAATCTTCATCTTCCCGTGAATTCTTATCCTGCTTTTCCACCTCAGTCAATGGTACCACCATCCACCCAGTTGCTCCAACCAGAAGCCCGGGCTCTCCCCACACTCCACTTACATCCACGCTCCATATCCTTGAGTTCCTGCTTCCCAATCTCTCTGTGCTTATTCCCCCCTCTCCATCCCTGTCAGCCCTGACTCTCTCTGATCCATTTCCCCCCCTTACCACCCTAGTCAAGGAAGCATGAGGTGATAGCATTGGACTCAGACCCAGGTCAGATTCTGGTGTCCCCACTTACTCGTATCCTCTTGAACAAGTCACTTCCGATCCCTAGGGCTGAGTGTTGTCTATAAGAAAGGGTTACTAGAGGGGCGCCTGGGTGGCTCAGTCGTTGGGCGTCTGCCTTCAGCTCAGGTCATGATCCCAGGGTCCTGGGATCGAGCCCCGCATCCGGCTCCCTGCTTGTCAGGAAGCCCGCTTCTCCCTCTCCCACTCCCCCTGCTTGTGTTCCCTCTCTCGCTGTCAAATAAATAAATCAAATCTCTAAAAAAAGAAAAGAAAAGAAAGCGCTAGTAGATTCCTACTTTGCAGGGTTGTTGGGAGCATTAAATGAGCACAAAGTAGCCAATCAGCGAGTGGCACTGATATTATGACCTCTTCCACTTCCTCTGGCCCCACTTCTTTTTCTTTCTGCCTGGCATTATTTTGTTCCCCAAACATGCCAAATCAGGTCTTCTTTGCTGTGTATCTAACTCCCCGCACCTGCCCGCTGCACCTCAAGCCCTGCTTTCGTGAAGAAAGACAAACTCCAGATCACAATAGCCTTTCCTGTATTGACTCCCTGTGAATCCCATCACACTGGGTTCTGTCCTTAAAACACACTCTGCTCTGTTTCAGAGATGCTACTCTCTCCTGCCTTTCCTCCTCCCTCTTTAACCATGTTTCTCAATTCCCTTTGCTCATTTCCTCCTCTTTCCACCTTTAATAGTGGGAGGTGCCCAGGCTCTGTCCTAGATATCTCCTTTGCCTGGGGACCTCCGAGCTCCAGTGCCATATGTCCATCCAGCCACCTATTACCTAGCAGCTCCACGTGGTGGCCCACAGCCACTCCGGGTGCAACCTAACTCTCGTCTCCATCCCCAGAGTTGTCCCAGAGTGTCACCACCCACTGTGTTTTTTGTTCAAGCCCCAAACTGTGATTGACTCCCTCCTTGTCTTCATCCCCCCACCAAAGCCCAGTTGATTTTAATCCCTAAATGTTTCATCAACCTGTCCACTTCCACTCCCACTATCAACAGGCTAATCCAAACTAGCATCAGCTGCTCAGATGACATAGCCTCCCGCTCGGTCTCTCCACATACTTCCATGCTCTCAGCAGATCCCTCCTCCACAGTAGCTGGATTTCCTGTGACCCGTGCAGATTTCATGCCACACCTCATGCTCTTTTCCTCAGCTTCCTACCGTCAGCCCCCTGCCCTGGCCACCAGCCTTAGCCTGACAAAGCTCTTTCGGCCTTGGAGCTCCCCTGCCTGGATGGACCCCGTCTCCCTCCTTTGCCTCTTGTGTTCTTGTGTTCCTGCTTGTGTTCCCTCTCTTGCTGTGTCTCTCTCAGTCAAACAAATAAATATTTTTTTTAAGATTTTATTTATTTATTTGACAGAGAGAGAACAAGTAGGCAGAGAGGCAGGCAGAGGGAGCCCGATGTGGGGCTCGATCCCAGGACCCTGGGATCATGACCTGAGCCGCAGGCAGCCACTTAACCGACTGAGCCACCCAGGCGCCCCATAAATAAAATCTTAAAAAAAAAAAATTTGTTGAATGAATACTTGGCCAAAGTATATGCTCAATAAATATTTTCAGATTGAGTCATTTCCGTATAGTAGGTGTTACTAGATTGAATTGTGCTCTAGTGCTTGTGTATTGTAGTCTATGCACAATGTCTAGCACAAGACGGGCACAAAGCAGGTGTTCAATGAAATAATGGCAGTGCCATGGGGCGCCTGGGTGGCTCAGTCGGTTAAGTGCCTGCCTCTGACTCAAGTCATGATCCCAGGGTCCTGGGATCCAGCCCCGCATTGGGCTCCCTGCTCAGAAGGGAGTTTGCTTCTCCCTCTCCCTCTGCCACTCCCCCTGCTTGTGTGTTCTCTCTCTGTCGAATGGATAAATAAAATCTTAAAATAATAATAATAATGGCAGTGCCAATAACTACCCAAAAAAGTGAGAGATCCTTGCAAAAGTGTTGGTGCAATCACAGTCCCATTAGAAATACTAGAGGTAGGCTCCTGTAGCTCTCAGTGTATTCCTGCTTCAGCGTTTGATGCACTGAGACAGGAGGGACAGCGAGATGGTCTAAGTCTACTTAATCATCGCTCTAGGCTCAGGGGCTCGTCCTGTGCCTAGCACATTTGCGGCAGGCCACATTTTTTTCAGTGAATGAAAGATTTAAAAAATGAATGAGAACAAAATTTGGAGGCTGAATAACTGGGACTGAGTCTCAACTGCTTTAGCTGTGGGACTTTGTGTCAAGTCCTGAATCTGTGTTTGAGTTTCAACTGAGAAATCGAGAAGGTTAACACTCATCCTTCAGTGCAATCAGGAGGCATTCTCTATCTTCTTTCTCCCTGCCCAGAATCATTTCTAGAAAGAAAAATCCTCTCAGTCTTTTTTTATTTGACAGAGAGAGACATAGTAAGAGAGGGAACACAAGCAGGGGGAGTGGGAGAGGGAGAAGCAGGCTTCCCGCCGAGCAGGGAGCCCGAT